CAGAGTGTCACATTCCAGCTAAGGGAAGTGTTTGTGGAAAATGGAAATGGATTAACAATTGGAAAATGGACAAAGGTTTTCCTTATTTATCCACTAAAGGCCTCTCTGAAGGAATCTCAAAGGAGTTCTGTCAACTTAAAATGCCTTACATAAATGATTACTCTTGTCTTTCACAGTGATTTGTTTCAAAAATGGGTCAGGTCCGAAATTTTAAAGTCTAGATTTGCGTATGTTGTCTCTTCTGTATTCGGTTTCCCCTTTGTTTCACATCTCAGACCAGACTTTTCTGATTTAAAAATGCTGCCTTTCATTTTCTTACCTCTTTTCAACTGTTTTGTTTTCAGTTCATTCCCTTGCAAAAGGTCAACAACTAGCTGTGAAGGGCAAGAGTATGCGTTTATAAAAATGATAAACTGTCTTTTTTTTTCTCTCCTCATTTTCAGTTCATTGACTTTTTTAAATAATCACTGTCTTGCAGCGATACAGTCAAAGCAATCTCAACCGCTTGCATTGTGGATTTTATTCAGAGAAAGCACAATTTATTTCATGCAGAATTAATATATTGGATTATTGATATTGTATTGTTAGACTAAATTTACCTTGCTGTATTGATAAAACACGAAGGTCATAGCTTCTGATTTAGAACATAGCATAAACTCTGGTATCCCAATTCCAAAGAGTGAACATTATTGTTAGGTGGAAGTAAAATAAAAATAAAAAATAAAAAAAGTTTAGTACATGCAGTTATCTCCCCAGAAACAGGAAATGTGTTTAAATGTGTAGTTTTAAATGCATATCAACATCCAACACTGATTATTTCCAGCTATATTGGTCCAACTGTGCAGTGATCTCAGATTTGCCAGAAATGTTGGCTAACATTCAGAAAGATGACTGAGAGAAAAACTAAAGAAAACAAACAAAAAAAATATCTGAACCTTCTTTGTTTTGACTGTATCATTAGATCCTCAGTGGTGCCAGCTGGTGCTTTGTAAAGAATGTTAGCACTTCATTTAATGTAAGCAATTTCATTTCATGTCGCTCATCGTCGGCTAATAACGGTAAAAGTGAAACAGTAGCGCACCTCATGCCCTTCTGTAAATGTGCAATGTCTGATAGAACTGTGGCAACTTCATGTTTTCTAACGGGACTCTTGGCTGAGCTTCTGTAACAGGAGTCTTATTTAATGCATTTTTAATTATCTGATATAAGCAAAAGGTAAGCAAAGCCATCTCTATCAGCGGTAAGAGCTCATCCGGAGCTCAGGACGTTGTTTTAAATGCATTAGTTTAGTGTTTTTATTAACATATGATCAGAGTTTTATGGACATTATCACTTGTCTTTTTTATTGTTATATTTGTACATTTTGACCTGAGTCCGGTTGGTCAAATTTTAAAGTTTATGTCCCTCAAATGGAGGAACAAATGCTGCATTTTGAGTTCCTCTGAATCATTTTGTTGTATGACGGATGCTGGTCATGCTTCTACATTGTGACAGTATCGGTGTCCACCACAAAGTGCTTTTTCCTGGTTTTCTCTTCATGCCACAATTCATTAAAGTAAAAAAATAAAAAATAAATAAAAAATTGCCAAATGCATGAATGCCTTGAACTTCTACATTTTGGACAGGGCTGTGGCTCCGCATACTACCATGCATGAGATTGGAGACAGCGTACCAACATCGTGGAAACTTCCGAAACTATTGTAAAACACATTCCAATCCCGAGTGGCATCCCTTTACGTCAGAGACCGTAGAGATCTTGGACTAATATGTGCATTAGCTGCTAAGCTTCAATAGACCCGTCATCTCGTCTGAGGCCCGTAGAAGAAGTCATTTAGTCATTTAGAGAAAATGTAAGCTGACTAAAGGCATGTCACTCTGCTGACTACCGGTCCTGCAGTCCCCTGCATACTTAATGCTTGGAGTTTTGGTTGCATTATTGGTGGTTCTGGCAGCATGTGTGGCTGTCTGCTGGAAATTAATACTTTGATATGAATGGCATATATGAGGGATGAAATTAAAAGCTCTCATTGACTGGACAAGGAACAATAAAGGTGTAGTTAACTATATTGTGGTGCTGTTGTTTTTTGTGTCTTGTGAATCCAAACATTTTACTTGCATTATGGCCTTTTTTAAGTTTACAATTTTAGGGTAAAGAACAATCAGCAGAGAAGCAACTGAAGTAACAGTAAACAACAAAGAGGAATAATGGTTGTCCAGCAGGGAGTGGAAGAGAAAGAGGAGCTTAAATACTAAGGGAGAGGTGAAAATGACAAAGGAGCCACAGGAGCTAATCACAGGCAAGTGGATGCAGCAGGGAGGTGGAGGCAAATGAGGCAGTTGGCTGAGGGTAAGCTGACGAATATACAAAGCAAAGAGTATAAGGAAAAAAGGGGAAAGAAACATGAAAAAATAAACAGTAAACAGAAGGAAATACTGATATAAAGAAACAAATTTAAAGCACAAACAATGTGACCAAAAATTACTTGCATAAAAGACTGAAATAGCAAGATATCATGAAGTAAGCAATAAAGAAAAGATCAAAACAGAAGCACAAATAAACTAAGTCCAAACGGCTGTGGTTCAGAACAGAATTACAGTGCTGGACCAAAAGAAAATGATTGCAAAAGCTGTCAAGGGTTTATTTTGTTATTTATTCTAAGAAAGTGTTGCTTGCCATAAAGTCAACAAAATGTGTTTGTTGACTTTATGGGAGAGCAGAATTGAGCCATTGGTTCTAAAATGAAAACACGTTGCACTGACTGATGCTGTTTCTAAGTGAGAGCATTGACAACGTCAACAAGAAATGTCTGTTATCTGCTGACGTCATCTTCACTGACTCTCGTAGCTAGAATGAACCAAAGACACGTCTCAACACGTCTTTGGATCTTCTAAACATCTTTTTTAGAACTTCGGGTTCTTTTATCATTTTAAACACATCTCTGATGCCGATAGCTTCAAACCAAAGATGCTGGGAATGATCTGGAAACTAAATGAAATCGATGAATGCATAGCTTCAACTTAAACAAAATTACCTATTTTCATTCCCATCCAGAGATTTACTAAGTAAAGAAAATGCATGCAATGCATAAAGTGCATTTAATTTTAGTTTGAACCAGGTAAACTGTTATGCATCATATATACAACTAAATTAAACAAACGTAGAATTGAAGCAAAAACCAGCAGACAAGAGGAAATAAAATGAAGCGTAAAATGGGGTCTGTTTACAAATTGAGTAACTTTCAAAGAAAACTGAATGCACTCGAAAAGAAAAGTGGTTAAATAAAAATACTTGATAAATGTTCCAGACTTTTCTTTTTCAATTTGACAAGGTTTCATTTGTAAGTTATTAAAGTTTTAACAAGGTGTAGTATTTTAAAGTGCTTTCCATTACATATGAGAATAGCTGCAATTTTTCATTACGAACCAGCTGAGAGTTTTGCCTCTTATTAGGCATCATAAAAGGCAAGTAGTTAACACTTCTCTTTGTAAATTAAGTTAAAACACATCAATCTGATTTATATCTACAGGTCATTCAGGCCATTGTTGTTATTCAGTGAGTTAGCTCGCAAAGAGAACAAAACAAGGGCAGGACAGTTTTTTCAGTGCTATTATTTTGAAGCTTATCAGTACAAACATATGGCCTGTGTGATAAGAATGATACCCAGTGGTTGCTTGTAATGTTTTTTCCCCCTCTGAAACAAGCAATGCACAACTCCAAAACCCTCGAAGTAAAAGTCAACATGCTCTTGGACTAATCAGTTTCTGTGAAGTTAAACAGCAACTTTCTTTTTGCAAGAGTGGCTGAGTTGCAAGAAATGTCTCAGACCTCTCACCTTCTAGCACGCCTACATTGTGGAACGGTGCCTCAGTAGATCATTTTCTACTTAAAAAAAACAACAAAAAAAAAAACCCACACCTGTTCTCTGATGACACAACAATCACTCTGAACAGAGCAGACCATAACCAGGCTGTTTGAAGTGGGACCTGATATCTAAGAATCTGTCATGCCATTCAATCAGATTAACCGGGTTGGATATTTAGCTAGATGGGTATTTATCATGCTGTGACATCATGCTGATGTCACAGCATGAGCACACACACTTCATGCACACACATAAAGTGTGTGTGCATGAAGCACACAGCTTCATGTGTGTGCTTCATGCACACATGAAGCACATTGAGACGTGCTTCGTGTGTGCAGAACAAAAGTTGTATAAGAAGCAAGGCAAATATCTGGCAAACAATGTCAATTTTATGAAGGCTTAAATACTCTTACAAAGGTTAAAGGGTTTATACTTGTAACATTTGATTTTGCCAGAGGAGAGAGAGGGCGACCTCTGGTGGAAAATATATGTAACAAATATCAAATTCCCAAAACAAACATAGTTAAGTTATTTCTAGCCGGGATGTTGGGCAAAATAATAATAATAATAATAATAATAATAATAATAATAATAATAATAATTTTTAAAAGTAGTGATCTGTTGATATGAAGAAAGTCCGTTTTATTTTATTTTATTTTAGATAAACACTCCATGAACTCATTTCCATTGTCATGTGGTGGTGGAAGGCCAGAGAGTCAAATACACTTTACTTTTATACATCTGACATACAATTGCTTGTCACAACAACAACCAACATATATGGACATTTCAAATTTTCACACAGACACATAAAAATTACATGTAAAGAATGCATCTACTGTGTATGTTTTGTCTATGTACAAACAAACAAAAAAAAACAACAACAAAAAAAGATTTTGGTTGGTTCATTTGAAACTTTGTTTGCTTATTTTCTAATCTGGACCTATTTCATAAAGTAGGTCCAGGTGCACATTTGAATATAAATGGTTGAAAAAGGTATGATGTAAAGCCTTTTGAGAGTAACATACAATTAAATTATTCATTTGGAGATCAGATTAGGTATTTTAATGGGAAAAAATATAAATGAAAAAACACCTTAATAAAACACAGGAAGTCAGAGCAAAGCAAAACAGGAACTGGGAGAATCCAACAAGGGGTGAGTGAAGGAGAGGAGGTCAAGTACCGAGAGAGTAAAAGCTGGGAAAACTGATTGGCTAACAGGTTGCAGGTGTGAGAAAAGAGAGAGAGAAGAGGAGAGAGAGAGAGAGAGAGAGAGAGAGGGGGAAAGTACAGGAAAAATTAATCAGACCTCATCAAAAAACAACTAGGCACAAGGAATAATTAAACATTTTTAACTAAGAAAGGACTGAACTAAAATAAAGCGGAAACGAGGATTGCCTGATCCAAAATAAGAGACTAAGGAATACAGAGCCAAAAATATAACTACAAACAAACCCATGAAAAAAAAAAAAAAAAATAACCCAGCATCCTGATAGTCGCAGCATAAACGTCATTCCTCCACCCAGCTCCGACGGACGCACCGGCGAAAACGTAAACTGCGCAGAACATTCAAACTTTGTTTTTGTTTTCTCACTGCTCCGACTAGTTTGAGAATTTAAAATGTAAAATTCCTCTTGAATAAATATCCGTACCCGAACGCCAAAGTTTCTTTCGCAAACTGTGTGCGTGGTCGGACTCAAAAACCCGACGCAGCGAGCGAAACCTTTAGACTCCGACGCTCGGTAGAGACTCAAGGAGTACCAAAAAAAAAAAAAAAAAAAAACCGCGTCACCGTGCTCGAAGTCAGAAGGGACGCCGACGGTCTGCTGCTGTCCGGTCACAGCATGAGCGGCACGGAGGAGGAGCGCTGCTGCGTGGAGTCCCTCCGGGCAGTGAAACGTGCTTTGGAGGAGAGGGGCGCAGGTCTGGAGCAGGCATCCCGGATGGCGCAGCTCAGGTGGAACAGGAGGGAGCAGCTCCTGGTGGCTCAGGTGGCGACGCTGCAGAACGAAGCTCAGCTCGCCGCCTTCACGTATCAGCAGAGATTGAAGCGATACTTGCTGCACATCAGCAGCATCGCAGAACAGATCGCTGGATACTGTAAGGTAGGAGGCTGATTGATAAAACTTTTTATTATTATTGTTATTATTGTTAATAGGCTACACAGGTGTCTGTCTGTTGCTTGAATCAGAGTGATTCCAGTACAGCCGCTGACATGCAGACACACACGTCAGACCATTCAACGACAGGAAAGCCGCAGAAAACTGTTGAGGAGCGTCAGGTAAGGAAACTTTTTTGTTGTTGTTGTTGTTGTTGACCATTTTCTTTCTCACTCTTGTGAAGTTTTAGCTCAAGTTGCTGAATGCAACCTAGAACATTATTTTTTTTAGATATCTTCTGAGACACTGCTGGTACTGCAGATAGAGGAGTTGAGACAAAAAGGTTTGCAGACTCATCGTGCAGCTTGATGTTGCTTCCTCCTACTCTATTTCACATACAGCTCATTTGTTTTCTTCTGTATGTTGACTCTGGTATCCCAGTCTGAGGGTTTCAGCAATCTCTCCTCACATCCTGTCATTTCTTATTTTCACTGGCGTTTCCAGTGTATAGGGGGTTGTGAATGCCAAACTGTTTCTTCATTGCACAACCTAGTTCATTGGCAGAAAAGCTGTCGGTATAAGATATTGTCTTACTAAAACTCTTGGCTCTGTTTAAACAACTTCAGCTTAATCCATTTGACCCGAGGGTTCTCTGCCACTCTCCCAGTGGTCTGGCACCAAATGTTTTGGCATTAGACCGCAATGTTGCAATTAATCAATGACTGCAGAGGGATATGCTTTAGAAGTTTAGTGCTGTTTGTTCTCTCAGAAGCAAAGCAGACTGAAAATTTGGGCTTCTCAAAAAATAAGTATTACTAAGAAAACTTATGACAGAACTCGCTCACATCTGTGTTACAGCCTTCATTATAATAGGGGTGTGTGTTGATTTTAAAGGTGTTTAGGATACATTTACAGGAAGGTACAAAAAGGTCAAATGGGTTTGAAAATTCGTTTTCTGAGCATATTCATGGAAAGTCAAGTGGAAGAAAAATGTGTCTTAAGCTCTGTGACTGAAATTTGTATTTATTGAGGTCCACATGTATGGAAAATCAGATATTAGTTGATTACTTGGGGTGGCTATATTAGTAGTTAGCCTGTAGTTTGGTGCTTTACAGATACAGCTTACCAAATGTACTATCTTCACAGTTATACAAGTGACTCATGTCATTACTAATTTCTATTCCATGCTGTCCCTATTATCATAGTAAGACTTTCCTCAAACTATGTAGAATACATTACTTTTAAATTGAAATTAAAGCTTTCTATGCAACTTCAGAGTCCATAAGGATCCATATGTGCAGAGCAGAAGAAACAAAGTAAAAATATTACATTTTAAGTAAAAAAAAAAGATTTAAAACTGTTGATATAATATTGTGGACATCTTCATAGTTTAGGTTTGAGAACAAAATAGTCGCTCTCAGTGATGACATTTTGTTTGTTCTTTTGGTTTTGAAAACGTGTTTCCTAACTCCATTGTGAACTTTTTTTTGTGGTTACCTAAAACCTCTCTTCTTTTGCCATGCAATTAAAAGGTGGGACAGATGTAATTGCTGTGATTTTTGGTTGTTGCAGAAATATATTAAACCTCCCACTCTGGCAGCCAAATCTAATATTAGCTCCTACTTTAGAAAGCCAAAAGGTTTCCATTATTATTCCCTGGCTAGGATCGGTGTTATGTTTGGGCTGCTGTTGAGGGTGGATAAGTTTAATTGTGGTAATGCTCACTTAAAGTGTTCCACTAATTACCTACAGCATGCTGTGAGTGCAACTGGCTCACTTTTGATTAATGTGGAAAACCGCTCTCTTTCCTGCCAAACGTGGGCATTAGAAGCCGCTATCTATTTTCAGCAATCCTGCTACTCAACTGTAAACTCTTCTCTAATGCATCTTTAATGGCTTTGTCACTGCCTTCTGCTTTCCAGATTGACTTTCCAGTTCTTAGGAAAGCTGTCTTGGAGAGAATAAAATAAAAGTTGCAATGTTTGCCGGAGAAGTTATTAGCCTGGACAACAGAAATGAATCGCTTGTCAAGATCCCCAAGACAGTTATGGATTATCAGAGTTGTGCCAAACCATTGAGAGAGTGGCAGATATACCCTGGTCCACCTTACTGCAGCACACAGACAGCATGCTAATGTGCAATCACATGGCTGGTGTGGTTGTGTGTTATTGATCACAGATCTGTACATATCTGATTCCATATTTTTGTTTCGTTTTCAGTTTTTGTGCTTGTTGAAAGCAATTTATTTTAATAAAAGCTACCATATTTTTCGGACTCTTAAGTCGCTACTTTTTTCCCATGCTGTGAACCGTGCAGCTTACAGCCCGGTGCGGCTTTTCTGTGGGTTTTCTTCAACCACCAGGGGGCTCTTTAGCAGGAAGTGAATCATTGGAAGTCAAAATTGGAAATCAAAGAAGAAAGTGCTGATTTTCATTTAGAACAAGCACATGGTAGCAGCAGGTACGACGGAGAAATGTTTTCAAGCTTATATGATGCAGCTTTTAAGTTGAAGGCTATCAATCTGGCAGTACAGGAGGGAAATGGAGCCGCTGCGAGTCGGTGTGAATGAACCTATGGTTCGGCGTTGGAGACGGAGGGCTGGGTCCTTAATAGCAGATTAATTAAGGACGCAGCAAAACTGTGAGCGGTGGAGATACCAGCGGCTTATAGCCCAGTGAGGTTTATATATGTACGTTTCTATTTATTTATTTATTTAACTTTGTGGGTGCAGCTTATAGTGAGTTGCGCTCTATCGTCTGGAAAATATAGTAATTATATTTTTAAAAGTTCTTTCATAGTTTCTTGGAATTCTGTTTTCCTCCCATCTTTCACCCCCTTAAAAAAAACATTTATATTAGGCAAATGTGTAGTTGTTTTAAGTGTGTGAATGGGGTGTTTAATGCCATTTGCCTTTATAGTGACACTGTAATTAATGCTTTTCTAGCTTTTTCTTTTTTTAGAGTCCACCTGTCCTACCTGATATCAGCTGTTTATTATTCTATACCTATTCCATACTGTAAATGCATAAATGTTAATATCTAAAGGTAAAAATGCATTAAAACCCATAAACATGTCCTTTTAACCAGCGATCCTAACCATTTCCTGGTAAAATTGAATCAAACCTGGGTAAGTGGAAGACAAGTCTGAACTGGAGAACAATTTGTTTTGAATTACTAGCTTCCTCTCCCTCCTACCTTCAAGAACTTTAGCCAAGTCATAGGTGTAAGGTTTTTACACAGTCACTTTGTCATATATATTACAAAATGGTATCATACTGTAATTGGTACATTGTAGTAAAATTATTAGAAAACACAAATTTTTACTTGTATTATGACTTTTTTACTTTTGACTAGTGGTTTTCCTCCATGCTCAGTCAAGACATTGGGCTGTAAGGAAAAAAATTAAGCAACCAGTAAATCTGTGTAAATTGCTCTCTTCGCATTTATTTTCCTTGAACGTTCCAATTATTCATGAGCTATGCTGGCGATAAATGCCGTCATCAAAGGTTGCTTTGTGTTTCCATCTGAAACATGTAGGGTAAGCTCAGGAGAGCGGGCTCACATTAAGGCCAACCCAGTGTGAGTGTGTGTATTTTTCCATGTGCCTCAGAGATGCACTGACCTAGATGCCAGTGATTGCGCGACATAATTTGCAGAAGCTGTGTCAGGTCGACCGGTTCTGCCGCGCTGAAAAGGGATAATGGCAATAAGACGCAGCGCTGCATTGGCAATGAGATTATTCAGCCCTGCAAAAAAAAAAAAAACACACCGCCCTTCGCTTGCCATGCAACCGGCCCATATGCTTGTTTAAAACCAGATCCATACACAAATGAAACCACAGATGAGGTAGAGCTGTTCCACGGCTCCACTTGTCCGCAGCCAAAACCACATTCTTTCCGTGGAGCTCAAAGGTTTGGAAACTAACAAAGTGGTCATGTAATTCAGAGACGGCTCCTATTATTCTTTACTTCTAAGGTTGAGGACAGTAGGGAGCAATATGTGCTCACTGAGACCTCTTGCGTGATTGGAAGGAAAAAGAGTGAGAGTACTCGCATCTCGGGTTTGATCAAATTCTGATCTGGCGAAATGGCCGAGATGAAAGCAGTTCAGTTAGCCTCCATAACAAAACAAAAGAATAAGGGTCTGATTCACTGCAGGAATGCGCAGTTTTTTTCCGGGCTTGTGCATCCCTAAAATCACAAAGCCCTGAGAAGGAGACTTTGGTCTTTGCTTTAATGTTTTCTGCTCCTTGTATGCGAAATGGGACCGTAGCTGTGACTGTAAACAGAGCAGGTCTTGTACTTTCATCTGTTGTGTATCTGAACATGTTTATAACTCAATATTAAGGAGAAGATAACAGATTTAATTTGTCTTCTGCCACCCCCTCAAACACATGAAAACATTCGTGGCCAGGAGTTGTGACTTGGTCAGGTGAGGGAAGTACCTATAACTTCCTGACACCCATAGAAGAAGAAAAAAAACAAAAAAAAAACAAACGAAGTGAGGCCTTTTCAATAAACAAAACCAACAACTTCATTTGACAGTTTAGCACATCTTTTTATTACATGTCTCTGTGTGTAAGCTGTTACTTTGTACTCCAGTTTCCTAAAGCGTTTTGTTGGCTTTAAAAGAGAATGCCGGCACTAAAGAAGGGCCATTAAAATTTAATTTTAGATTTCAGATGTGTGAAACAAACCATTAAAGAAAAATCCTTGCTGCGGCTCTCGCAGCCGAGGTGGTGACACGGGGTTTGTGAGTTCTGTTTGCCTCGGCCCCCTGGAGGTGTTTTCTGTACCTGTTCTGCTCTGTTTGGAGTGCCACTTACCCAGAATTTACACCATGTAAACTGTTTGTCTTTTGCCTGCAAGAGAGGGACCGCCCTGCTCACCATTTCCTTTTTCCTCTCCAATTTGACTGCCTCGCACCGAGTTGCTAAAACAAACTTCTGCTTGCAATAATTTAGAATTGGCAGTTAAGGAAATCTTAAGTACTCCGATTATTCCATGTGACTGTCTTTGTTTAATATCCCATTCTCATCTTGCAGTCTATGCATAGATTTTTTCATTTATTTTTTTAAATAATGGAATCTGTAATGTTTTAGTAGGTGTTGGTTTGGCGAACGAGGTGTTTTTCCAGAGTTGTGAGGCAGATGCTGGGATTTGGATGTTTCACCTTCTACGGCTATGGAATCGGACCAAACCAAAGAGCTGTAAAGGCAGTTTGTTTATGGCTCTGTACGTGCGTTTCGATATGTCGCTGCAGGCATGATTTGTGAGAAGGAAAACCATTTCACTAAAGACCACCCTGCTCGTAAGAATGAAATGTACCCAGAGTAAGCCTTTCTCCGTAGGAAAGTTGCTTTATAAATGTACCTCGGTTTCATCCACAGGACACTGAGGACTGATGTGAACTTTGTTTTTAAAGATGCATCTGTGAATGAACACATCAAGCATACTGCTTCTTTGTGTGACTGCATGGGAAGATCAAAACATATCAGCTCCATCCTACTGATGTGAATTATTGTGTATTAATAATGGGTAGGAGAGGTCTGGAGTAGAACTGCAAGGTTCTCTACCGACTTCTTTCCTCAGGCTGTCGGAGCCCTTGACCTTCTCACAAACATGCACATCCTGCTGCCTTCACATCCACAGATAAACACACACCTCTAGGCACACTCGCACCTTGGACTCACTGGATAATCTAAATGTGTGAATTCTTGTGCTGCTGCTTGCTAATTTACTTGTTCTCAGGCTCGTTCGTGGTCCTGGACTGTTACCTGTCAGTCTGTCATGCCTGTCTTGCACATTGCTTGTTTTTACTGGCAGAAGTGAGGCTGACATACAATCGGCGCCGTCGGGCCCACTGTCAATCAGAACTGACAGGCACACAGTAGATTTTAGCTTGACAGAAGTTAAGGAGTCTGTTTTGTTTCTATAAAATAAAACTACAGTCATGACCAAAAATGTATTTGTATATTTGAGGGGGTTCGCTGACAAGATACATACTCTATCTTTTCCTTAATAAAAGACAGAAAAAGTGTGAAAATTTGAAGTTTAACCATAAAACGAACAATGAAAAATAATGGGCATAGAGTTGGAGAAGGATGTCCGATTTGGGAATCTCGTGGTCTCATCCATATTTTTGGCAGATGATCTGGTTCTTCTGGTAACGACCTTCAGTCTGTACTGAATCAGTGTGTAGTAAGGATCAGTTGTACCTTTGGTTGGAGACTATGGTTTTCAACCAAAAAAAGGGACTGTTCAGTGCCACAAGTAGAGAAGTTCAATTATCTTTTGTTGTTTACTAATGAAGATGGTGTAGAGTTGGAGATGGATAGATGGTTTGGGGTTTCATGGTCAGTCATTATCTGTCATAGTGAAGTCACAGCTGAACCAAAAAACAAAAGGTCTCGACTTCATCACTCCAACCTCCAAACCTCACTTGGGGCCATGAGGTAAGGGTCATGACCAAAAGAAAAGATCCTGGATACACGCAGCTAAAATTAGTGTCTCGATTCAGAGATTGTCAGTTAAGTTGGTTCAGGCATCTTTGGAGATTTGGCATCCCAATGCCAGGAGGGCCCAGACCAGTCTCAAAAATCACCAAGGGGACGATGTATCAGTTCAGAATGAGTCGGAGAGTTTCGATGCGGAAAGAGACGTTTGAGTTTTCCTTTTGAACCAAGCAACCTAAAGTCAGATAAATGGGAAAACAATATTTCATCCACAAAGCTTTTAAACTACGCATGCAAAGCCAATATTTCCTGCTGGGTTATATGTGAACCACAACACCACAAATATCACTCTGCCATTTTTGGAACCTGGAGAATTTTTAAAATGGCCGGATATGCTTTTGTGCAAATGTATACATTTCTCATGCCATCATAAAAGCTTGTGCCAATAATATGAAGCATACGATACATTTTGCATACCAAAAGTTGGAAAAGGATTAAAGTTGACCCACACAAAAACATAAGGGTTAAAATCCTTTTGACAGTGTACCGCTAGGGTCTACTGTCTTTCAACAGTCGACATCTGGAAAAGACACACAAGTCAATAGGCTTTAAATCAGGAGACTGAAAAGAAACTGATGACATTTCCAGGTGACCTCCTGCTGGTACGCTGATCGGTGCTTCCTTGTGGTCAGGAATGTGAACAAACAGAACTGCCGTGCTTCATGTTCTGACACACTAGTATGTAGCCGGCACAGCAGAAAACACTGCTTACATCTGGATTCGAAACCACCGATGTCATGTAAAACCTGCCTGTGCAGC